CCCCAAAACCCCAAAACCCCAAAACCCCAAAACCCCAAAATTATAAAACAATTGGATTTATAATTAGTTTAAAGGACCTATGGATGCTAATGGTCAAAATCCTGCCAGGACCCCTAGCAGCATGCGCTTCTCTGAGCACCAGAGAGCCCAAGAAGAAGACAGAGTGATAAAGCTGATGAAACAGAACGGGAACACTATTTGAAACAATATCATTTCAATCCTCTTACTCTGAGTTGCCATCAATTTTACTTCAGTTAGCAACTGCGGCCCTGACATTGTGGGCCTACTCAAGCTTGCCATCTGGATAAAAGTCGGGGTAGCCGCATACTTTATCGCAGTAAACGCGCTTATCAAGAACTCAAGAATTCGAGTACAGACTGCCAACTTCATGATCGGAGGGATCTGGCTGATAATGCTGTGTAAGAAGCGAGACTAAAATATAGACTGGCATTGGATTGTATTCAGAAACTTCTTTTCATCACAGAATGATTGTAGGAAGAAGTCTACCTTAATATGGATCTCCCATGTCTCACTCCTAGCTGATGCAATCGTCAATTTTGGCATCTGCTGCTGAATCTCGTGAGGTGTTTGTATATTCTGAGTAGCTTTCTGTGTTGCTAAAAGAAGAGATGTTCAAAGAGAACAAGCAAACCTTAAAATCAAAGACCTCCTTCTGAATGCAGCCCAGTTTAAAAGAAATCCAAGCGAATATGAGGTTGGAGATACTTGACCAATTTGTATCCTTGAGTTTGCAGAAGATGATAACATTATTTGTTTGCCATGAAACAATGGCCATGTGTTCCATTCTGACTGTATCGGAGAATGGGTCAAGAGGAAGAATTGCTGTCCAATCTGTAAAGCAGAAATTACTCCTGATGCTATTGCCGGAGCTGCAATGGAGGACTTCCCCATTATGGCTCCTGATCTTGAGGCACAGCCACAAGATCAAGAAATAGAGAATTCTCATGGAAGAAGGCCTTCTTAATTATGGTATTTCTAATCCTTCTTTATCAATAGATTTGAAAATTGTAGGGGTTTTGGGGTTTTGGGGTTTTGGGGTTTTGGGGTTTTGGGG